GGTGGTAATTTTGGACTGTGTAACTTTACAAACGACACCTCATACTTTTTCTTAATTTTTATATTTCCTAAATTCATTAAAAACTGTGACGGTGCTGATTTAGTTTCTTTTATCTTCTGGACAGAAAACAACTAAGTGTAATTTTGTAAAGAAGAAACAATTAGCAGAACCAGTGTCCAGCCAACATGTCAGTTTTTAACAGCCATTCCTTTACAGTGTACGACATGTTCACAGTCCAAACTCAAACGATCCAGTAGCTCAGAATAAGCTGCAGTCTGATTGAAGAAAATAGTGCAGTCCTCTTCACATTTAAAGTTTATCGTTGGTTCTCTGATAAGCTGAATGTGCCTGGTTTTGTCCCAGTTGCACCATGTCAACACAACACAGTGAGTTCAAATCACCAGAAGCCATCAGTCAGCTGTTTCCATCTAAACGGTGCTGCTCTCGGTGGTCCCTGAGCCGGACACCAACAGCTTCTTCTTCTGGGAGTATTTCATGGAACTGGAGGAAACCTTCTCCCTCTCCACGGTTCTGCTGCTGCGGCACAGCAGGGTGTTCTTCACGTGGTTTCTGAAGTCGTCAGACACAAAGTAGTAGATGAACGGGTCCAGGATGCTGTTGAGACTGGCCAGACACAGAGTCGAAATGTAAAACCCATACCCGTTATTTTCCACTCCGTCTTTTAACAGAGCGTAATGCATCACAAGCATGATGTTGCTGGGTAGGAAACAGACGAGGAACGTCACCAGGACAATCACAATTAACACCACAACTTTGTGCCGGTTCTTCCCTGATGAACTGTCCTCCGGGCCGCCTTCACCCAGAACTTTGAGTAACCGGATGTACGCCACAACGATCACTATGCAAGGGATGAAGAAAACAACGGTAGCCATGAAGATGAAGTAGAAGAATGGGAGTCGGATGGACTGGGAGGAGAAGGGATCAGTGAGGTCCTGTATGATGCTCACATCGTGGCAGGTGGTTATGTTGGGATCTCTGATCTTGGCCGTGTGATCATACAAGTACAGAGGAGTAGTAGAGAGCCAAATGAACGCCCAGATGGCCACTGTGACACCAACAGCAATCTTGTTGTTCTTCCTCTGCACAGACATGGGGTGTGCCACGACCCAGTACCTCTGCACACTGAGGCAGGCGATGAACAGGATCGAACAGTACATGTTCCCGTAGAAAAAGCTCATCAGGACTTTGCACAGCGGCTCCCCGTAAGTCCAGTTGTTGCCGTTAACGTGGTATGAAATCTTTAGAGGGAGCCAGATGACAAAAAGCAAATCAGCCAGAGCCAGGTTGGCCATGTAGATGGACGATGGGTACTTCTTCTTCGTCCTGAACAGGAAGACCCACACAGCCATCCCGTTTGCTGGGAGTCCCACCACAAACACCACTATGTAAAGGAGTGGGAAGAAGACGGTGGTGAGTGGGCTCTTCAGGGTATCAGACGCTGTCTTATCGAGAACTACAGACTTGTCTTGGCCAATCTGTCCAATAAACCCTCGACGCTCTAAAAGACAAAATAAAAATACACATTAGTGTGGAAACCAGACACCAAACACACGTAAAATGAACATGTGTGACAGAATTTTGAAATGTTGTTAACCAAAATGCTTACTTGAAAAATGATTTGACAGGTTAATTTTTCTAAAGATTTATCTTTTTGTCATAAACATACAAGTTAAGTCACTGACAGACTGATTATTATTGAAACTATCAGCAGTAGCTTTTATAACAAACAAAACCTCAAATAGTTCTATGCTGCTGTTTGAAAAGTTACACAGTCAAAAATTACCACCAATATTTTTGTTTTATTTAACCTTTTATAAAGAAAAAAAAGAACAGATTTATTTTTCAAAGTCAGTTTTTTACCATATGATTCATACATTTATAAATGTCATAGTTTATAAACTAAATATTTAACTTACAAGTTAAATATTTAGT